GGACCCCACTGTGCTGCTGTGGGCAGGGGAGGTGGAGCTGTAGCTGCTCCTCCCTGCAGGTGCTTACCTGTCCCCTCAGATGAGCTGCACAGCCCCCGAGGCCACCAGAGGGGCCACGGTTCTGTAGCGGATCAGGTGCTGCGAGCCCTCCTCCAGGTCAATGGCATATTCCCTGCAGAGACAGGGGTGAGAGCTGCTGCTGCCACAGGGACACTGAGACAGGGACACTGAGACAGGGACACCCACTGAGACAGGGACACTGAGACACAGGGACACCCACTGACACAGGGACACTGAGACAAGGACACTCACTGACACAGGGACACTGAGACAGGGACACCCACTGACACAGGGACACTGAGACAGGGACACTGAGACAGGGACACCCACTGAGACAGGGACACTGAGACAGGGACACTGAGACAGGGACACCCACTGACACAGGGACACTGAGACAGGGACACCCACTGAGACAGGGACACCCACTGACACAGGGACACCCACTGACACAGGGACACCCACTGACACAGGGACACTGAGACAGGGACACCCACTGACACAGGGATATCCACTGAGACAGGGACACTGAGACACAGGGACACTGAGACACAGGGACACCCACACAGAAATGCGGTGCTGCGAGCCCTCCTCCAGGTCAATGGCATATTCCCTGCAGAGACAGGGGGTGAGAGCTGCTGCTGCCCACAGGGACACTGAGACACAGGGACACCTGTGCCCCACACAGAAATGCCCCCCTACCTCTGCTCATCAGTCTCTGGCTCCACCAGGATGTTCTCCTGCCGCTCCAGCACCCTCAGAAACACAAAGGAGTCCAGGTTGGGCTTTGGGACTGCAGAAAAAACATTGAGAGCACAAGCTCAGCCCTCATTTCTATTCCTCTGCAGAGCACCGAGGGCTCTGACTGGTGACAAACAGAGGGAACACCAGAGCCTTGCAACCAGATGTGAGACGGGATTTGACAGCAGCAGCACAGAACCATGTTACAGCATTGCCATCACATCATCTTTGCCCAATTGAAAGACTTAGCCCTTACATTTGGGGCTCCCTGGAGCTCTCCCCACACTTCTGAGTGCTTCTACAGTTTTCAGATTACCCTGGAGTCTGGACAGACTCACCTGACTTCAGGAGAGACACTTTCTGCAGGTTAGGGGGCATGTGCTTCAGGGCCACGTTTTTCAGGTAAGCCTCTGTGTTTGCCATATACCTGAAAGAAACCATTGAAGAATGAGTTGGTTAATCAAATACAAATCTGCAGGGAGAGAACTGCTCAAAACAAGAGTAAGAAACAGCTCCTCATGCCTCATGCCATGGGCACAGCCAAAGTCAAGCCCTGGCCTACCCTGGTAGCTGACTCAAAGTCATTTTCAGTTCCTTTTCTGCCCACAAGGAAACCTCCTGGTAAGACACACTGATTCTTACTTCAAACTGTCTGCTCACAGTTTCAAGAACATCAGCAAAAGCACACAGATAAGTTTCTATAATCTATAAAAGGGGAGGAAGATATATTGAAAACCTACTCACTCTGTAGCAAAAGCAAACTCCTCTGGTGATAGAATGGAGGGCTCCCCTTCAGCTCGAGATTTCTCCTTCTCCAGGATGTGGGGAAAAAACTTCTCTATCTAATATTGAAACATAACCCAAAAGGATGACACAGATCTCCCACCAGTTCAGTGTTTAAACCCCCACTCTCCACTGGATTCCCTACGAGCTGCAGGCTGCCCAAATCCCTGCTCCTGAAGTAACTGTGACACCAGGTGGGATCACCAAGCCACAAGGACACAGGGACAGGAGTGGGACACACTCAGCTGTGCCAGCCCAGGCTCAGATGAAGCCAGCAGCACTCACAATATTATCATCAACACTGCTGTGATCTTCCTGCGTTACAACACCAAATTAAGAAATTAATTCGAGTCACATTTCAGAGAAGACACTTTAATTAAATGCTGTGCTGAGGCAGGAGGCCCTGTGTAGGTGAAATCCCCCTGAAATGCCCCTTTTTCCCCCTCTGGGCTGCAGTGTTACCTTCACCAGCCGACACCTCAAGTAGCTGCTGAGCACAAAACGGATCCTCTCGATCTCCATGTGATGCACACTGACCTTCAGGTCTCCTTTCTTGGCCCGTTTCAGGTTGGCTTCCTGCAAGAAAAAGCAACAAGAAATGAAAATTCAATGGCTGAAAGATCAAAGAAATAACAGAGGAAGACAAGTTTTGTATATAGAACCCACAAACCCAGACTAAGGTTTTAGCAGTGCACTTTGGGTCATCAAAATGCACTTGTGTAATTTCTGTACTTGAGCCCCTTTCCAAGGCAAGCTCAAAGAAGAAACTCAGAGAAGTTTTGTCTCATGCAGGGGAGCAAACAAGCCCAGCATTCCCAAAGAGCCTCAGGCAAGCAGGGCCTGCCCACACCACAGCCAAGCCAGGAGCAACTACTGTGAAAATGCCAATCACTTGTTTTTAAAATTTTAAAAGCTTAATAGTAATAAAATAAATAAATAGTAATAGTAATAAAATAAATAAATAGTAATACAATTACAGTAATAATAATTTGGACAATTTGAATTAGGACAATACGAGACAATAGAAACAGAGTCATGGACAGTCTGGGTACCTTTTTCTGGGCAAAATAAGCCCGAAAAGGGACACAGGTGAACAGAGGATTAACCCTTAAAAGTAACAGCCTGTTGCATATTCATACACCTCATACATGATGCATAAATTCCATTCAAACACAGGATTCTGTCTGGTCATCATCAACTTCTTTCTCATAATTCTAACGGCGTCGTTCTGCCCGAGCAAGACAAGAAGTTCATTTCTCCTGATAACGGAGCAATAAATTCTTTTTCTCTGAAAGATTTAGGTGTCCTGTGGCTGCTATTGCACTATGAGGCCTTTCTTCAGAAAAAAAGCATCCTACATAGCACAGTTTCTATTTTAACATTTTGTTATAACCTAAAACTATATTTAACACACCACTTAAGAGAATTAACACAGCATAACTTCCTAACACAACACATATAATATTCACTTTAATATTTGCGAAAATCCAATCATAAATACTAATTTTTCACACCTACCATATGGTCCAGCTGCTCCACCACGCACTCGATGATTTCAGGTTTACTCTCCAGCAGCTCCGGAGCAAATTTCTCATTGAGCCAGGCCTGAAAGACGGCACGGTGTGAGTGTAACCGAGGGAATCCTCAGCCCCACCGCCCCACAGCCCCGCCCGTGGCTGCAGCCCCGGTACCTGCTCCAGGCTCTGGATCAGCTGGGCCGGGGTCAGCACCAGCTCCTCGCTCTCCCCGTCCGAGTCCCCGCCGGCCGCGGCCGCCATCGCTCCCGCCATCACCGGCCGGCCGCGCCTCTGCGCATGCGCGGCAGCCCGGGAACATGGATGGGGAACCGCGCTGCGGCCGCTTGGCCAATCGGGAAACGCGCTAGGGCCGCCGCTCCTCCCTCCTACCAATCAAGAGGCGGATTGAAAAAAAAAGCCATCTTCTTCAGCCAATCAGAACGCAGATTGAAGCTGTTGGGCCAACCAGGACGCAGATTGAAATGCAGCTTTCTCGGCTAATCACGGTGCGGCTCTTGGCTGCGAGCTTTTTCAGCCAATCAGAAAGCGGATTGAGCTGGTGAAGCAGGGCAAGGATGAAGGAAGCTGGCCAATCAGGAGGCGGATGCAGGACGCTGGCCAATCAGAAGGCGGATTCAGCTCTTTTGGCAGTCAGGTGGCTCAGGCTGCAGCCGCCTCCACCAATCAGAGAGCGGCGTCCAGCTGCAACTTCTGCGCCAGCGAGGAGGCGCGGGGACACTGGAGCTGCTTCAGCCAATCAGGGCTCAGCAGGTTTGACACCTCCGGACCCAGGACCAGGTTGGCACTGGCAATGATAGAGCCAGACCATGGACACAGGGACAGAGCCAGGCTCCAGGTGGGCACTGGCAATGATAGAGCCAGACCATGGACACAGGGACAGAGCCAGGCTCCAGGTGGGCACTGGCAATGATAGAGCCAGACCATGGACACAGGGACAGAGCCAGGCTCCAGGTGGGCACTGGCAATGATAGAGCCAGACCATGGACACAGGGACAGAGCCAGGCACCAGGTGGGCACTGGCAATGATAGAGCCAGACCATGGACCCAGGGACAGAGCCAGGCACCAGGTGGGCACTGGCAATGATAGAGCCAGACCATGGACACAGGGACAGAGCCAGGCACCAGGTGGGCACTGGCCATGAGAGAGAGCCAGGGACACAGCCCCCAACGCCAGGTGGGCACTGGCCTTGATGGAGCCTGGACACAGGGACACAGCCCCCAGTGCCAGGTGGGCACTGGCCCTGCTAGAGCCAGACCATGGACACAGGGACACAGCCCGGGCACAGAGACACAGCCCAGACAGAGGGACACAAGGACACAGCCCCCTGCCTGGACACACAGACACAGCCCGGACACACAGACACAGCCCCCAGTGCCAGACACAGCCTAGACACACAGACACAGCCCCCAGCCCTGGCACAGCCCAGACACACAGACACAGCCCCCAGTGCCAGACACACAGACACAGCCCGGACACAAAGACACAGCCCCAGCCCTGGCACAGCCCCAGCCCTGGCACAGCCCCAGCCCAGCACTCAAGAGCCACCCCAGCCCCGCTGCCACAACACACCTGCACACAGTTTAAGAAAAGGTTTACTGATCCATCAGTACTTCTGCCAATATTGCAACAGCTGTGAAAGGCAAACACTGTTACAGTTTAGAAAAAAAAAAACAATTTATACAATGAAAATATTAATCAAATCTCAACCCCCTCCCCCAGTGGCTGAGGAATGAGCCTGGAGTTCCACATCCAGTATTAGCACCTGCAGCACCACCAGCAAGCAAGCCAGCCCCTCCAGCCTGAACTGCTGAGTTCCTTGCACAACTGGACACTGACACTGGGCCCCTACACCAGGACACCTGGGCTGTGACACAGGAAAAGGATGGAAGGGAAGGGATTCAGCCAGCTTGGACTGTGGGGAGCTGCACTCGTGCAGGTTCTGCTGAGCAATGCACGGGGATGCTGAGGAATGCACAGCTCCACTCCTCAATGTGTGCCAGAAACAGAATTCAGAAATCCATCCTACACAGTATCTTACAGCTTGCCAAATCAATGTTTTCCTATAAATTATAGATAAGAAATCCATAAAGAAACAGTTTTACACTTCACATATTAATCAGAGAAGGGTGGGAATCGTTATTTTTATTGGCTCAGCATCCACTTTACTGTGCTCACTGTTCCGTGGCTGACCTGGCCAACAACAGCACAGACACAGAAAAACCAGCAGGGTTAAAGCCTGGCTACAGCCCCCTCTCCCCAGGATAACCAAGACCTTAACTCCAGGAACACTTTTGCCTTTTGGTTTTCCACAAGGACCAGCACAGGAGCTGCTGCCTTGGGTCACTCCTCACTGGGAAGAGGCTCTGTGTATCTCTGCACTCTTACACTGAACTGGAGGCAAATTCCCAACTTGGAGCTGGAGCTTTCCAAAGCCCAACTGCCACACAGAAGGGTTTAAGAACCAGGGACAAACAGCACTGCACTTACAGGACTAAAACTAAACCTCTCTTGGGCTCAGAGCCCCATTTCTTTCAGGAGACAACACAGCTTTACCACTTCTGCCTTTTCTTGAGGAAAAAAAAACCAAAACCCCAAACCAAACAAAAACTAAAAAGTGATCCTCTTGCTTCCAAATCTACTGCAAAGTGGATGCTGACCAGCTAGGTCACCCCTGGGGAGCAGCTGGAGGAAGTTAGTCCTTGTAGTAGATGGCACTGTGGATCTGGCAGCAGAGAAAGGAATGATGCTCTAAAGGAGGAGGTAGGGGAACCTTGGTACAGCGAGTCCACCGGTGAGCTGGCATCTGGGAAAGAAGTTCAGCTGGTTAAAACTCCTCCCAGGTCAAACCAAATCTCCCCTACACAAACCTTTCTGCAGTTACCATGTGCTGTGGTGAGCAGTGTGAGCAGAATCCAGAGCTCTCAATTCCAGTTGTCCCAACAAAAAATAAACACCTTTACTATTTGCTTCTTTTCACATAAATATTTCCCACTCTTTTCTGCACATACTGCCAACAATCTGGATTTAACTCCCCCATCCCAGGGCCTGCAGAGCACCAAACACAAGGGAGCCAGTCCCAGTGTCAGCTTTCCAAAAGCTGACAGTAATTTTGGTGGCCTGTATTGGATATAATCACCATGAGCCCCTGTTATATTTTCTGAAAAATCTCTTTGCCCAGAACTTTGCTCCTGGGAGGCTGAGAAGCCTCAGGGAAAAATGAAAACAAGAATTATCTGATTTGCTTCTCCTGTGTTTTGCTGCTTTGGAATGTGGTTGGACATTGTGATTGTTACATTGGCTTCATGTAAATTGTTTTTATTTAATGACCAATCAGTGTCAGGACTCTGGAAGGAGTCACAAGTTTTTAATTATTATCTTTTAGCCTTTCATAAGTATCCTTTCTCTATTCTTCAGTATAGTTAAGTATAGCATTCTTTTATATTTTATTTATGGTGCATTTATATATATAATTATATATATTTATAATATATAATATAAATAATATGTATAATATATATCTAACATTTATAATTATTATAATTATATTTCATACATTATATATATTATATACATTATATATACTGTATAGAATATATAGAATATATAGAACTTATTCAACATATAGACCATATAATTATATATGATATATATTATATATATATTATATAGAACATATAGATTATATAGATTATATAGACTATATAGACTATATTTATATTTATAATAAATAAAATAATAAATTAGCCTTCTAAAAACATGAAGTCAAATTTATCATTCCTCCTTTCGATGGAGGACCCCAGAAACAAAAATACCCAAAAAATGCCACAAGGCCCAGTCCTGCAAACACCCCTCACTTTGTGAGAGCAGCACCAAGAGAGCTGAGAGCCTCTCACCAGAGCTTTTCAAACCTGCTGGGATTTTTTTACCTGAAAATATCACAAGTAAAAACATCAGCATGATAACCAGAACTGCAGCCAACTGAAAATCTGACACAAAAAATCTCTGTATGCTAGAGCACATCCAGAGACAGAGCACATTTTACTGACCTGAGAAGAATTTTGGACATGAAATAGCACAAGTTAGCAAATTTACACAATCCAGACTCAAATTTCTCCTAGGTTTAGCAACATCCTGCCCAGTACTGATATTTTTATTTTCAAGAACTGGTTCACACAGGATTTATGTGAACAATCTCTGATTATGTACAAGGGTGGGATGAACCCTCAGCATGACATTTCTGAGCACAGAAAGGTGTTGAGACTGATCTGAGATAAGGCTAACACATACCTGAGACTCCACAGTTTTATCTTCCACTGGTCAAACCTCTGTCTTCATAAATGGTAATTTCAATCTGCACAGAAAAGCTGTTAGGGAAACACACTAGAAAGACACTATGAAAACATACCTAGAAAAAGGTAGAAAAGCATAAAGATGGTGAAATTTTTGATATTTTAGCTGTTTAAAGGCAGGTCCCAGAGCTCCAAAGCAAAGGGAACAGTCTGTGAGAGATGGCTCATCAGGTAAGAGCACTGCACAGGAACTCAGTGTGGGTTTGAGTCTTGCCCCCCTGGTAAATTTTGGGGAAGGCTGTGCACCAAGCAAAAAAAAAAGTTAATACTGCTAAAAAGTCACCTACCAAACTGAAAATGCTTTTTCTCAAGTTGAATGCTGAAGGTGTATGCACAATGGAAAACACACTGAGGAAAAAGGAGTTGTGTAGGTGACAGCTGTGAGTTATTTGGACAATCACAGAAAACCCAACTGCAAGGAATTAACCTTATCATACATTGGGTTCCAATTGCTGTGGTTTCAATATTTTCAAAGAAAGATGTGTTGCTCATTTCACTTCTCCATTTGCTATGAGAGGTCTTTACAACTTCAGGCAATAACCACATAAAATGTCTGGTACAGTAAGTCCACTGGTGAGCTATCATCCAGAAAAGAAGTTTAGAAACTGCTCCTAAGTCAAACCAAAAGCTTCCCTACACAAACCTTTCTAGGCAGGACTTGCCTTGCCTTGCAGGCATTTCTCTTAACAAGTTTTTATTCAGAAAAGCATCAAATGAGACTTTAACTGTGAGGATACTACAGAATTTGAGCACAGGTGGATGCTGTACCTGGTGGTGAGGGGTGACAATGAGAAGTGGGAGAAGTTCTTGCCCCAGAGGGGGAAGTGTGGCTGAACAGCTGAAGAAAAAGGGTTGAAATAAACCACAGTGGAGCAAGAGCAAGTGCTGGGCTTGCAGTGATGTTTGTATGTCAAAATCTTCAGCAGAACCTGAGCTGAGGGTTGCACATTAACTGACAGCCAGGTCTTGTTCTCACAACATCAATTTCTGTCAGAAAAACAGCATTTCTGGAGGTTACTGGAATAGAGGAAGGATCTTGAGTCACAAAGGTTGGGTTCCACATCTTCATGTACCAAACCTTAATACACCAAAACCTGACTGGGGACCAGGACACAACAAGAGCAACAATCACTGATTCTGTATCCCAGATCAAGCATGAGCAGAGGTGCCTCACTGACACAAACCAGAAGGCACAGAAGGATACAACTCTTAATCCTCTTTCAATGGGGTCTGTCAGCAGAAGGCCCTGAGGAGCGTAGATCTTCTCATTCTGTTCCTGAATGAACTTAGCAATTTTCTTTAGAACCTGGGGATGAAACAGCACAAAAGGCACAGCAAGGCCAAGGTGAGAGCTGACACACAACTGCTCTGGTGGATCCACAGTGCAAGGTTCAAAGTGACCCCCATGGACCCAAACTGAGCAGTACCAGCATGTCTGAGGTACAGAAACACGTTGCATTACATTATAGAATGATGATATTATAGAATGCCTATATTATATTACATTATATTACATTATATTACATTATATTACATTATATTACATTATATTACATTATATTACATTATATTACATTATATTACATTATTATAGAATGCTTATAATATGCTTATAATGCTAATAATTGTATTATAGAATGCTTATATTATATCATAGAATGTTCACATCATATTACAGAATGTTATGTTATAGAATGCTTATATTACATTATATTACATTATATTACATTATATTACATTATATTACATTATATTACATTATATTACATTATAGAATGCTTATACTATATTATAGAATGCTTATATTATTAGAATGTATATAATAAATATAACAAATATAATATAATAAATATAATAAATAAAATATAATTAATATAATATAATATATTAAAACTTCCTGAATAAACTTGGCAATTTTCTTCAGAACTTGGTATTATATTATATTAATATTATATTATAATTATATTAATATTATGTTGTAATAATATTTTAATAGTATCATATTAATATTACATTAATAGTATATTTTATATTTATATTATATCTTCCTGAAGGAACTTAGCAATTTTCTTTAGAACCTGGGGATGAAACAGCACAAAAGGCACAGCAAGGCCAAGGTGAGAACTGACACACAACTGCTCTGGTGGATCCATAGTGACCCCATGGGTCCCAAACTGAGCAGAACCAGCATGTTTGAGGTTTATCTGCACAGAATCTGCCCCAAAACACTGCAAGCCACAGAAAAACCACCAAGAAGCAAGGATGGAGGGGGAAACGAGCTCCTACCTTTTCATAGTGTGTCTCCATGCACAGGAAGATGGTGTAGGCAGTCAGGCAGGCGAGACAGCCCTCAAGGTAAGATTGGCCCCCAAGTTTTTCAGCTTCTGCATAGAGGTTGTTCAGTGTCCTGACTGTCTCCTCAAACTGCTGCCTGTCGATCTGCAGGGAAAGCAAGTGGGGATGTCAGGAGAACATTCCAGAACTCAGCAGCACCCTTGGACATCCAGCTCCACTCAGGGATCACCTGTGCTTTAATATATTATATTATATTATATTATATTATATTATATTATATTATATTATATTAATACTACACTATACTATATTATACTGCATTATACTATACTATATTATACTGTATTATATTATACTATACTATATTATACTGTATTATATTATATTATACTGTAATATATTATACTGTATTATATTATACTATACTATATTATACTATATTATACTATATTATATTATACTATATTATATTATATTATATTATATTATACTAAAACTATACTAAAGAAAGAGAAAGGATAAAACAGAAAGCTTAACAAGAAAGAATAATTAAAACTCGTGACTGACTCTTCACAGCTGATGGTGATTGGTCATTAAGTAAAAACAATTCACATTAAACTAATCAAACAATCTCCAGACTACATTCCTAAGCAGCCAAACACAGGAGAAGCAATCAGATAATTATTATTTACGTTTTTCTCTGAGGCTTCTCATCTTCCCAGGAGAAGAAATCCTGGTGAAGGGATTTTTCAGAAAATATGGCAGTGACACAAAAGCATTCAGAGCAACACGCCCGTGCAATTCAACTGGGAAAAAAACCGGAATTGACACACTAAAATGGATGTGTTAAATGGTTAAACCACATTAAAATGAACAGCAGCAGAGTGGAGGGACACTCCACACCCACAGTGCCTCGGTGTTGCTGCAGTGCTGACCAAACACACCACAACAGAGGAACAGGGAAGAGAAAAAAAACAACCAGAGAAAGAAAATAGTGTAGGAAGGCGTGTTTGTTTGGTTGTCACCCTCAGATACCACTTTTGATTGCGGTGACCAAAAGGAAAATTGTTCCACTTGGGACAGCATTTGTGAGGGCTCTAAGGTTGGGCAGGATTTCAGGGGAGAGGACAGCGCTATCCCTGAGAGCACAGAGACACAGCGAGCACATTCTGCTCTACCGCTGCACACCCGCCGCCGTCCCCGGGACCGAGCACAGCCCGGGACACCGGGGAGGAACCGAGTCCGCCCCGCACCGGAACGGCTCCGGTCAGAGACTGGCACAGGAGCTGCCACCCCGCCCTCAGGGAACCGGCGGAACCGGCTCTGACCGAGGCAGGGCACCGGCGAACGCCCCCCGAGCGCAGGCCCGTGAGGCCCCGCCCGGTGTGGGGCTCCGTGCGCCGCGCCCGCCGCCAACCCCGGCCCGGCCCCGCCTCACCCGGTTCTCCAGCTCGGCCGGGAACTTGCTCTGGAACTGGCAGCGCGTCCCTCCGCTGTAGTCGCGCTGGATGAACACCTTGCCCGACACAGGCGCCTGCTGCGGCCTCATCGCGCCGCCGCCGCCGCCCGCTCCGCTCCCGTCCGCTCCTTCCGCCGCCCGCCCCGCGCACTTACGGCTGTCGCAAAAGCGCCGCGGCTCCCGGTGAGGGCGGAAGTGCCGCTAGGCGCCACCAGGCGCGTCAGTGCGCAGGCGCAGACGCGGAGGCCGCAAAACGGCAGGAGCGCGCATGCGCAAAAGAGCCTGTATGCTATTGGGCGCACCGCTCACCTCAGCCCACGTAACACCACCCCCCCTCCGGCAGTATTTGGTACCGCCCAAGCCCACAGGCAGCGGCGGCCGGCGCTGTCCCGGTACAAGGCGCTAACCCGGGATAAGGCGATATCCCGGGGCCGGGCGATATCCTGGGACAAGGTGCTGTCCCGGGGCCCACAGGCACCGGCGCCTGGTGCTATCCCGGGTTTCGGCGCTATCCCGGCGCCCCTCCCCCCCCCCCCGGCCGTACTTGGTACCGCCCGAGCCCTCAGGCAACGGTACCCGCCGCTATCCCGGGGCCGGGCGCTATCCCGGGACAAAGCGCTGTCCCGGGCCCACCGCTCCCAGCTCGTTCATCAGTTCCATGCTTTTTCCCAGAAAGCGGAACCGCTGCAAGCAGACGGAGCCGCTCCCACAGCTCTGTCCCCGCTGCCGCACACGGGGGCCGGTGGCGGCCCCGTAATCTTTCCCCAGAGCTCCAGGCAGCGGTGCCTCAGGCTGAGGCAAGGCTGGGAGCTGCCGTGAGGGTAGCAGAAAGCTCAGAGAAGGCAGGGCTGTGTCTGTGGTGGGAGCTCATCCTCCGGGACTCCCTTCAGGACGGTCTGCTCGTGCTGACGGTGCCCCTCTGCTCCTGCTGAGAGCTGTTAAAAATAAGTTTAAAACTGTTGTAAAATAGTTGATAGATCGTTAAGCATGTACTCTCAATTTGGTTATTATATGGTAAAAGGGGTTCAAAGGGTGGTTGTAAGAAATCCGGTACTCAAGGTACCACAACACACCTCAGTAAAGCGCACCACGAGCCAGCCTGGACAGAACTGCAATGGCCAATCAAGGCCTGAAACCTTCATGCAGATGAAGGATCCAAACAGAAACCAATCCAGGGGGACAAAAAACAGGATAAAAAGGGGCTCCTGACCCACTGAATTGTGCTGCTCCATCTGGGACATCGGGGATGGAAAAGACGCCCCAGTGCCGGCGCTACAGCATCCTTGAGGGAACGCTCCTGCTCAGCCCAGGCCCCCTTGCTTTAGGTCTTTCTTTTTCCTATAATAAATGCTCAAAATCACCCTTGCTTTAGGCCTTTCTTTTTTTATAACAAATGCTGAAAATCACTTTAGTACCAGGAGCCTGCTCTTGTTTTTACCAGCTTGGGGACCCATCCAGGAGGAGCCTGGGGCCAGCCTGGACAGAGCTGTAATGGCCAATCAAGCACCTTAAACCTTCATACATATGAAGGATCCAAAATGAAACCAATCCAAAGGGTTGGAAAACCAATCCAAGGGACACTTGTGGCTCTTGGAGGACACAGACACTGAAATAGAGTCTTTCAGGCCACCTAATGTGGTAGAGATGCAAGAGGACAAATCAAATTTACAGACATGGCTTAGATTGGGAGATAAACTCACAAAGCCAATTTGTGGCATTTTATGGGCTTGAAAGATTCTAAGTCAGAGGTCCCTGTGTGGTTTGAATTAGGTTGGGATAGGGGTATTCTGAAAAGCCAGATCTGGAGAAATTTTTATTCAGGGCATTTGAAATTGAGTGAGGGGCCATCCAGCATTTCTGTAATAAATAATTATTCTATAAATTATCATTTCTATAAATAAAATATTATTCTCTCTCAAATAAAATATTCCAGAACACAAGTTTCCATGTGACAAAGAAAATGATGATTACCTGAAAATGGATAGATCTATTTGTAGTATTTTTGTAGTATAATATAGCATGTATATAGCAGCAAGAAGCCCTTGGCAGCAGTGAGCTGGTTAATGGCTGCACTCAGTGATCCTCGAGGTCTTTTCCAACCTTGGTGATTGTGTGATTTCTGAGGCTATTTCAGCACAGGGATAAACCCCTGGCTCCCACTGCTGAGCTCAGCTGCCAGAAAAGTTCCCCGGGAAGTAGCACAATCTTTGTTTGGTCATTAAAGCAGAAAAAAGAGAGAGGGAATCTTAGGAAATGCTTGAAACGATTAGGTGATCTTAACTCTAAGGAGCTAAACAAATGCAAAGCAATTCCCCCCTCAGCCCCTCGTGCTGCTGTAGAATGTAATCTCATTTCTAAACACACAATTACAGAAAATAAAAAGAAAAGAAAAGAATAATTAATTTCTGCTTCCTCATGCAAATCCTCTGACCAATCATTTAGGGATCAGGGGCAATTCAGCTTCTTGTGCAAATTCCAAACTGAAGGCCTGAAAAAAAACAAGTGAATGGATTTACTTTTCTAAGAACCAGAATTAACAAAGGTTCCATTTTCCATGGTTATGCGCCTGGCCAGACAGCCCTTGCTGACAAGCTCTCAAAAAACATGTGTTGGCCCGTTGAAAAGGCCCCAGTGTTGACTGACAGACAATTGAAGTGACAAATTGTTTCATTGTACTTGGCAGGGAGAGCGCTGTATTAGATAATTATGGCGAGGAGGGAAGCGACAGGTCACAGGTCAGAAGACACGTCTGACCCTGTTTGCTGAAAGCCCTGAAAGGAGCCCATGCCCTTCAGGGAGAGCAGCGTGCTGCTGGGGCTGCTGGGGCTGCTGGGGCTGCTGGGGCTGCTGGGGCTGCTGGGGCTGCTGGGGCTGCTGCTCCTGCCGCTGGGCTCATTAGGAGCAAACCAAGATGGAGTGGGGACGAGCTGGCTCTGCTCTTGCCCCAGTTGTGGCTCCCAGGATGGGTGTGCAACTCCCAGGATGGGCTCCCAGTTAGGATGTGTGGCTCCCAGTTTGGATGTGTGGCTCCCAGGCATGGTTTGTGGCTCCCAGTTCGGATGTGTGGCTCCCAGGCATGGTTTGTGGCTCCCAGTCCGGATGTGTGGCTCCCAGCGATGGTTTGTGGCTCCCAGTTTGGATGTGTGGCTCCCAGGCATGGTTTGTGGCTCCCAGTTCGGATGTGTGGCTCCCAAGGATGGTTTGTGGCTCCCAGAACGGGCTCCCAGGATGGCTCTGTGGCTCCCAGGATGGGTTTGTGGCTCCCAGGATGGGTGTGTGACTCCCAGGATGGGTGTGTGACTCCTAGGATGGGTGTGCAGCTCCAAGGATGGGTGTGCAGCTCCAGGATGGGCTCCCAGGGCAATTGTGCGGCTCCCAGGGATGGTTTGTGGCTCCCAGGATGGCTGTGGGTTTGGGGCTCCCAGGACAATTGTGTGCCTCCCAGGACAGGAGTGTGGCTCCCAGGATGGTTCTGTGGCTCCCAGGATGCGCTCCCAGGACAATTGTGGGGCTCCCAGGATGGATGTGTGGCTCCCAGGATGGGTGTGCAGCTCCCAGGATGGGTGTGTGGATCCCAGTTTGGATGTGTGGCTCCCAGGATGGATATGTGGCTCCCAGGATGGGTGTGTGGATCCCAGTTTGGATGTGTGGCTCCCAGGATGGATATGTGGCTCCCAGGATGGGCTCCCAGGATGGTTCTGTGGCTCCCAGGATGGATGTGCAGCTCCCAGGACGGTTCTGTGGCTCCCAGGGTGGGTTTGTGGCTCCCAGGATGGGTGTGCAGCCCAGGATGGGCTCCCAGGATGGATGTGTGGCTCCCAGAATGGGCTCCCAGGACGGGTGTGTGGCTCCCAGTTTGGATGTGTGGCTCCCAGGACAATTGTGTGGCTCCCAGGATATATGTGTGACTCCCAAGAAGGGCTCCCAGGACAGGAGTGTGGCTCTCAGAATGGGTGTGCAGCTCCCAGGACGGGTGTGCATCTCCCAGGATGGGTTTGTGGCTCCCAGGATGAGCTCCCAGGACAGTTCTGTGGCTCCCAGTTTGGGTGTGGGGCTCCCAGGACAATTGTGTGACTCCCAGGATGGGTGTGTGGCTCCAGGATGGGTGTGCATCTCCCAGGACAATTGTGTGGCTCCCAGGATGGGTGTGTGACTCCCCAGCAGCACCCACCACCCCTTAATAAATAAAAATAATAAATAAATAAAAAACAAACCCACCACCCCTTATTAACAGAATGGCTCCAGGGGCCCGGAGCATGGGCAGCTGCCTTCACTGCCACCTTTGGGAGCACCTCAGCCGTCTGTGTTCTGAACTGGCAGGGAAAAGCACCAAGAAAAGGCCCTGAGTTGTGTCCCTTGGACATTTGGGCACCTTCCTTGCAGGATCAGCCCCGCCCTGCTGGGGCCTGGCTTTTTTTTTCAGGCTACAACTAATAGTTATTGCAGCTTCTCTCCTGCCACAGAAATAAAATATGGTGTGGAATCACAGCACAGCTACTCCATTGAGAGCAATGCTACACTGAGTAATAGCAATAATTCAAAACAGATGAGCCAAAGGCTGGAGCACTATGGGCTCAGTATCCCAGTCTGCCCTGACCCCTGGAATTCGCTGAAAGTTACCTTGAGACTCGCCAGAACTCTTTTGTAACTTCTGTGAGGGTTATTTATTGCAAAGTCATAAATATTTGCTATGGATTTTCCCCATCAATCTACAAAATGAATTAGGTTAGAACAAAAATGTATGTACTTGGATTTTGGGCATGTGTTTCCCAGGCAGGGGAGAAAGCATTGGATCTCCATTGTGTAGAAGGCAGACTGCTGCAGAGCTTTGGGCTCTGCTGCCTGCACTAATTAATTCCCTTCCACAAACAAAAAAGTTTAAAATGCACAGTACAGTGGAGAAAGGGGGAAGGGAGGAAAGAGATTCTTCTTGAAATCTCTTTTAAAATCTTTCATAAAATTATTTATGGGGGAAAGGAAAATTCTGCTTCCCTCTCCTCCCTCCCAGACACCCTGCCAGTGCATTAAAACCCTGAAACTGAGAGGCAGCATGTTGTGCCCCAGGGAAACAGCCTTAAGTCAAAATCTACCCCAGAAGCCAGCACTGGCAGCTGGGTGTGGGGATGGAAGGAGAGTGCCCAGGCTCCTCTCTTTTTC